TGTTCCATTTATTTATGAATCATATTGCAAATTTATATTACAAAATAACATTCTATATTTTTCAGTTTTTTCATATTAAAATGGTTAAAATAATAAGATTTTTTTTAAATTTTCACACAATCAGCAGTTGTTATTATGAATATTCATTATGAATTACATAATATAAAAGTTTGCAAAATTTGCAAATATTTTAAATTCTCTTCTTCGCCACATTTTATCTTCATCACGGAACCGTTTACAATATATAATTTACATTTTACATAACTTTTCTAACTACATATTTTAGCAAAATATTCGTACTATTCGAAGAAATATTCATCATAAAGTAGGTACAATAATTCAGAAATTATTAAGGTATTTCTCAATCTCTTTTCGCCCATTCTTTACGAGATCTCTAACGTCTCGTAATTTAGGAAAATTTATATTTTTCCTCCACTTCATCAATCACGAAGTTAGCATTATTTAAAAATTCCAAAGCTATAACACAAAAATTACCAAGCATTCCCTATATTCACAATACACAAATCTTTCCACTTCTCTATATAATATTCGAACCCTTCACTAATCTTTGAAGTGGCATGCATGTACAAAATTCAAGATCACAAGTGGCCATCTTCATTCAAAATCCATTCAATTTTTCGAAAGAACGCGCGTAATTTCAACAAGATATTCCAATTTCATACACCATTTATCCAAGTATCGTCGAAACAATTTAACCCATTCCTAAATAACATATATCACGGATCACCATTCCAGAGCGATAGTTACACCCAACGATCCTCGGCTATCTCCACTCTCCAATTCCCTATTCAAATTCCATTTTTTTCCCTATATGCCAAACGCCTCGAGAGACCCCAAAGCGAAACATACGTAGGGAATAGCGATGGTATCGAGTTGAATGTGCATTTAGAAATTTAAGTCTAATGCAAAAAGATACGCTTCATCGGGTTTCTAATGTTATTCGTAATCCATATAATTAGATTCTTCCTAGAATCTATTTAGAAATGTGAACGAACAATGGTTTCCAGTATATTTGCAAATTTTGAAAATTTTACTCGATTATCCTGATGTTCAATCGTGTTAACAACTTGTCGACACAATAATATCATTTATCATTATTGTTCATCTTTGCTATTAAAAAAAAAATCTCCTCTCGAATTCCCTTAAACAAAACTTTCGATGCCTTTCGAACGGCTTATCAAGAAATGTTCGAGCATAACCTATAAATAAAAGTCCAAGTCCAATTTGCAACATGCTTAATCCCTAACGGAAACCGAGCTTAGCGTGCAAATAATGTTCCGATCGCATCGATCCAACAACCATTGCGGTATATCCCTCGGCCAAGGCATAAATTATAAATCGCCGATGCGGCGAAAAATCGGCGTGTGGAATCCGAATGGGGGGAGCAATTGGACGATCCCATATCCCATATCTTTTTCGTCTAAGCGTATGGAGTGGCCGGAATATAGGTCACACGGCGATCGCGAGTCGAGCAACAACCAGTTTCCAAAATCATGGGGGGGTTCCGGTGCCCGACCACGCCAGGTGCAGCAGGTGAGTTTAAGCCCCGAGTTTTAAAGAAGGTGAGCGCGCCTCGTTGTCCTACCCGCCAACAGCCTCGGCCAATCGCGTCGCGAGACCTACATACGGACTCCCCTCCCTCCCTCCACCTTCCAAGTGGAGAACATCCGACAGGATATATGCTGTTCGACGTAACTCGCGATACCGTTAAGAAACCGACGGCGGGCCCCAGTCGAACGGAACTATTCGCGAGCAGACGGTGAACGGTCGGCGTTAGGGCGCGTTCATATGCTGGTGGATTAGAGATCTTAATTATTCGCAGGAGCACGAGATGTGAAAATTGTAAATTTAACTTAAATTGTCGAATCTGGTAATTGGAACAGGCTATGAATAGG